CACAATTTTCCACAATTTTCCACCGTTTTCCATCATTTTCCACCATTTTCCACAATTTTCCACCATTTTCCACTATTTTCCACAGTTTTCCACCAGTTCTTTTGGCTTTCAAAGTGATCCGTGAGGTTCTGTGATGGTCAGTTCGGTGTGAAGGATTTGGGCTCCACCACCGGCAGTTTCTTCTACCTTCGACCCCACGGTGCCTTGAATTTCCGGTATTTTCCGTAAACCAATTCATTGAATATGGGAATTGGAGAAACAAATCTTATAGAAACAGCTCAGAGACCCAGAAGAAGCATGCTTTTTTGGATGTTGGACGTTCCTGAATCAACTTGTTTGGACATTCCCAGTAACATCCCGCGGCAAGGTCATTTCCAGATTTTTCCTGGGCTCATGGTCAAACTTGGTGAGACGGAGATGCAGGCGCCATGCAGTGGGGACCAGGCTCTGGGCCATGGCTCCCCTCAGGCACTGATTCCAGCAGTGATTGTTGGGTTTCAATCGGGTCTAGGAGTGGTGGAACCCTGGAACCCTGGAACCTGGTTCAAAAGGCGGGTCAGAGACTTGTTTGTTGGTTCCGTAATGTTCACATTTCCCACAAAAAACAACCACAGCTTTAGAGATGGGATAGGACCACATCAAATCAAAGTAGCAGTATGGCAGTATATAAATATCCCTCTCAATGACATTTTCATGACAGTCCCTGAGACTGGGGACTGGTGTTTCCCGTGTTGCCCGTGCCCCACAGGTTCTGTCTCAGAGCGCCGGTGAGCTGACCGTGCTGTTCACCGAAGGTGGGCTGGGACAGATTCCAAACGAAAAAAAACATTTTTCACACGTGAAGTTACCATATTTTACATGTTATAAATCCATCTAACACATTTTACCATGTCCCCAAAACGGTGGGTTTATTGTTGGGTTCCCATGGTTTCCAGGCCCCCTGGCTGGCCACAAGGTGCGGGGTCCGGTCCGAACACAGCTCTGCGTATCATTTGTTGGTGACCAAATCTTAGGCAACTTCGGAGTGCAGTGAACTAAGTGAATAATTTTCAGTTTTTTCATCATATGGACAATAGTTATATAGATCATATATATCATATCATCTCTATATATATATATGATATATATATATATTTATCATATATATATATCATATCATATATATATATGATATGATATGATATATATATATACATAATATTTATATCCCACCTTGGGGTTACCTCTGTCCATAGGTCCATAGTCCCAACGTGACCGTAACGTGACCCAAGGTGACGATCCCACCTGCTGGCATCACCATTGGACGAGTTGCTGACAACGCACTGGTCCTGGTGCAAGATGGCAACTTGCCCGGCGTGCCAAATGGGGGCTGGCAAAAAGCATTGTCAGGGCAAAGATGATACAGATTTTAACCACTATAAATGGTGATTTAATGGTGGTTTAATGGTGATTTAGTGGTTTAACAATGGGTTAACAATGGTGAATAATGGGATGATAATGGGATATACCCTCTGGGCATTTAACATAGCCATGGAACATGTTCCATTTATAGATGGTTTACCGTAATTAAAAATTGTGATTTTCCATGGCTATGTTGAATAACCAAACGGGTTCTCGAAAATTGTCATCAACATTTTAACTATGGCAATGGCAATGATTTTGATGTCATGAGCAATTCTGTACCAATATGTGTCTACTGGTCATTTTTTACACCTTTACACCTTTCTTGGGAGTATGGTATGGTACAGCCTGAAGTATGGGTCAAATCCAACACTTTGAGACTTGAGACCAAGTACCCAATCATATATACTGTGGAAGAAATACTGCACCAGTTGGTAGATGGTTTATCCCATCGTAATTTATAATCGTTCTTTTTACTGTGTTTCATCAGAATCCCAATAGTTACCAACTGGTGTAGGATTTCGCAACCATCATCATGACATAAAACACTATAAACAATGGGATTATAATGGGATAAACCAACAGTTACTGGTGCATGTCTTATAAACTGCTTGGTGCAGAAAGCTGGTGCCATCAGCTCCCGCCTCAAGGCACGGTGTCTGCACACCATGCCATGATCTTCTTGGAGCAGGGGAGCTTCTACATCACCGTGCCGCAGCAGAAAAAAAATATGGAATGCTTCAATCATGACAAATGGGATTTCATCATGAACAATTGGGAGTGGACTTCAACCATTAAAAATTGGGTTCAAGCATCAAAGCCAGGGGTATAAGCCAGGAGGGAACGCTGTGTTCTTCCCATGTGTGTGCGTGTCGAATGGGATGGCCCCAAAATTTCGATACCGGGAACTGTAGGGTTGTCTATATCTAGCAAATACAGGGTTGCCCCAAAATCTGGAACCCCATTCCATCCTATGGTCTATCATCCCTGGGATTGGGGTATCTACCGTGAGATACACACCCATATCGGCATTTTTTAAGGGCTGCTTCAGGAAGGAAGGGATCACCCAGAGGTTTTTGAAATCATCTTGTTGAATGTAAGGCAACTTGAGCCACCTTGAAATTTTCCCCCAACCCATACTACCACTGTGATCATCATTTTTTCTGGCATTGGCCCCTCTCCAAAACACTTGCACTATCCAATGGCGCCATTGGTGAGGGAGGAGCGCCATTGGCGCCAAAATAGCCATGGGTTCCATGTGAAATTTCGGGGCGTAGCCTCTAGGAATTTATACATATAGCCACGGACAATGGCGCATTTAGTTCAATGATTTAGTTAAGCATGGTGATTTTCCACATAGCAAACTGCTGAACTACAAAATGCACTCCTTATTTTTGACGGTTGGTATCCCAATACATCCCCATTGCACTAGCATGAGAAATGCTGCCTTAATCCGGCATATTTGGTGGTTTATAAACCCCATGAATACTATAGTTATATCTACCATAAACCATAGTTGCCATAGAATTCAGCCACTTTTTTTCGGCAACTGAACGCTATGGGGTGAAACTTACCATCTGGCAATTAAACATAGCTATGGAAAATGGCTATTTATAGTTGAACCAGTTAAAAACGATGATTTTCCATATGTTAAAATTCCAGAGGGTAATATCCCATTTTCATCCCATTATTCACCATTGTTAAGCCATTGTTAACCCATTGTTAAACCACTAAAATCACCATTAAATCACCCATTAAATCACCATTAAATCACCATTAAATCACCATTAAAATCACCATTTACAGTGGTTAAACTATGATCGGCTTCTGTTCGTTTCAGAATTTTTGTCCCGTTGTGATTCCTTCGTTCCCTTGCAGCTTCCGAGGACCTCGGAAGCTGCAACGGCACCTGCCTGCGTTTGAGTGCCGAGCGACAGGAGAGCGGCTGGCATCCCATCATGGACGGCGATGCCGCTGGACACAACGTGGGACACTGGCGGAAGTGATGTGCGCGAAGCAAATGGGGAAAAACGTGGGATATACGGCTTGATATAACTTGATATAACTTGGAAATGTAGGTGATAATAGATACAGCTTGATATGAGGCCACGAAAATCCTGACAGATCTGAACGTTGCAACTAGATTCTGGCTGCTTTGTATTGTGCAATACCTTCGAGAACTTGATATGACCAGAAAAAATTGGGGTATACGGTATACCCAAAATCAAAAATCCAAGAAGATGTCGAAAATGTGGGCCATTTTGCTGGGAGAAAATGAATGACAATGCATAGCTGACACACATCTTGACTTGGGGTCTTTCTGACTTCAAAAAGCGGTGCTAATGTGCATCATGTCTAGCACTGAAAGGGTCACAAATAGAGTCTACAAATGCTTGTCAGGAGTGATCGGGATGCATGCCATTTCATTGGGGGTATCTCTCCATTATGGTTGGTTAAAACCCCACTCGTGGATGGTTTGTATGCCAAGTACGGATTAACGAGCTCCAATTTTTGATGCTTCACCCGAAAACCATGATGGTCAAAACATGTCAAAACAACATAAACAACCCACGGACTTTTTTGAGAGTGACACTTTTCTCACTTTTGAAAGTCAACCATCCCATTTTGGTTGAGTGGTTGAACCCCAATTGGTTGATGATTCTCATCTCCAAGGTCCTGGGTGCTGGCTGCACCAAGATCCGCTGCAAGGTCCGAACGCCCAGTCCGTGAGTGGCCACGCAACACGGCGCGGCAAAGTGCGGCAGGGCAATGGGAAAAAATGGCAGCTGCGAAATCTTGCAGAATTTCTGTTGTTTAAACTTTAAACCAAGGAAAACCCAGGGCGAAAACCGATGGAAGAAATGATGAATGTAGTTTCAAAATCCTTAGCGGCAGACGTGCGCTATTCAAAAAACACTACGAGCCGCGAGAGTTATGACTCTTCGACTTTTCGTTGGAGACGGCATTCGTACAGTTGCACGTGCTGTTTGTTGGAGTTTGTACTGCAACCTTTGGCAAATCGGAAATCTGTCGAAATGAGTGGTGTGCAAATATTGCTCCTCCTCAGAATGAAGGTGTATCCGTTCTCTTGCAATGGTTTTTATTCAGCAACAAGAACCGATGATTTAGACAAAAATTGCCATGGTCGAAACATGATGGGATAAAATCATCCATGGTCGAAGAATATCAAGGCGACGAAGATTGAGCTTGGAAGAACATGTGTGTGACGAAGAGATTCCAGGTTGTCCTGCCGTGGAAAATGGATCCTATCACAATAGTCGTGTGTTTTCTCGATCTTTATTGCGAGTTGGACTGTTGCCAGTCCTTGTGTATTGATTCATGGGCTCTGGTGGTTTCTTGAGTCTAACACCATTTCATTTTGGTGGATGTCTCATCAGGCATATACATTTATAAAGCTTTCTGCCGACCATATCCTTTTTTAATGATTATTTTATATATCCGAATTTCATTGGCAACAAAAGGCAAAACCGTCCCATTTTCTAGGATACCTAAAGACATGCAGAGTTGATCCAAGGCTTATTCCATCTGATTTCGGATCACTTGGGATCCGCCGCTGAACAGCTCAATTTATTTTCGGGCGCCGTTCGTTCGACGACTCCTTGGTTGCCATGGCACGAAAGGGCCCTTTGGCGCGTTTGGTTGTCGCCTCCTTGGCTCTTGCGTTGCCTGGCACCTTGTTTTCCATGGTCGAACATGGGGCTTAGCCATGCCTAGCCCCAGATGGATGAACCGGATTTATTCCAGCCGAAAGAATCATGGAGCATAGACCTTCTTTTCTCACTAGTTCATACTAGTTCGCTAATGTAGAGGAACCCCTCATGTTTCACAACCCAAAGGGGTTGGCAACGGAACCATCAGGTTCTCCTCTTCGCGTTTGCTATGCTTCCATGCATGCCGGACTCCAAGCACTTGCTCAACGGAGCTTACAGGCCGGATTTGCGTTTAGATTCATAAAACGACATGGAAATCCATGTTTGTTTCCCGCTTCGGAACATTTTCATGCACTTTCATTGTGTTTTTCCATGTCAGTTTGTTAATTAGCTGGAGGTATCCAAATCCATTCAAATCGACATATCCATCAATTAAAACCAATATCCAAATCAGTTTCAAAGTAAATTTAAATCCACAAACATCCCCAAACATCCATTAAATCCATATCAAACTCCATATCAAACTCCATAAAAATCCATTAAAATCCATTAAGATCCTATGAAAGTCCATGAACAGCCATTGAAGTCCTTAAAACCTTCATGAAAATCAGATATCATCAGATATCATCAGGTATCATCAGATATCATCAGGTATCATCAGATATCATCAGCATCAAAATCCAAGAAATCCCAAGATCTCCTGGCTTCGTCCACCGGTCACAGGTCACCGGCCAGTCACCACCGGTCACTGGTCGCCCTGGGGAGGTGGTCATCGGGCTGTGGAGCCAATCCCCAAATCGCCCAAAGCCTGGCGCAAGGCGCTGCCCGAAGCTTGGCACGTGACCAGCGAACCCCCAGGGCGATTTTTGTTAGGATTTTTTTTTGTTACCGAAGAATACCAGAGATTCCTTTTCGGACATCATCTGTGTATATGTACATAACATATATATATACACACTGCATACATATATATATATACACACATTTATACACTGTAATATATATATATATATATATCTGTGTATATATACATATTTGTGTATATATATATATATTATGTATAATCTGGTGTATAGCAAATGGTATATCGACTGGTATAATATAGCAACCGTCTACACAGAGGCATATCTGACTATTCTTGGGATGGTTATAGTTGGAACAACCAGTAGACATGCTTATGAGTCACTTATGAGTGGGATGATTAAATTATTGGGGATAATGATTTGGATGATATGGCTGCTCCCCTGCCACGCCAGGTACGTTTGGGAGGGTAAATTGGGGCAAATATAGAGGTAACATGACCAATTTCCAGCCCAAAAAGTGGCAATCATTTACCTACGATGGGCAATGGGTGGAAAGTGGCTGAAGACTTTGACCTTGGGGCCTTGGGGTTGCAGTTGTCTCCACATTTTCCAACTTTGCTGTTGAGGATACCACCTGGCTTGATGATAAAAAGGTTGGTTGATAAAACAGGGGATGATCCACCAGGGCCCACAGCCAGCCCGCTCGCTGCGCTCAGCATGACGCCGTGCCGGTGCGGCAATTCCTGCACTTGCACCGCTACCTGCAGATCTGGAGGGTCCGGCGACGATGGGACGGGATGGATTTGTTTCATGGTCAAGGAGTTGTTTGAGCTGCCAAAACATGGAGATATTTTAGCATCCCTAATAGCAATATATAGCCTGATATAACTGTTACAAAAACAGGTGTTTGGGTAATCAAAATTAGAAACTGGTCCGAAGGATCACATTTCTGGCTGAATTTCGATCGGATCACCTGCTTCCATACAAAAGAAAAGCCTCTTTTGCCAAGAGCACAAGATACAGCCCCAAATCCACTGCTTCATGTTTTTTTTGGGGGCATGGGTGAAAGAGTTGAAGCTATCTTTGATACCTTTATCATCATCCAATCTCATTCACCATTCCTAACCCAATGTTCACCATTAACCTGGTCGGTGGTTTGGAACATTTTTCCATATTGGACTATTTTTCCATATATTGGGAATAATCATCAATTAATGTTTTCATCATAATTGGATATTAGGACTATTTTTTCCATTTTTGTTGGGAATAATCATCATATATATAGGATATAGGACTATTTTTCCATATATTGGGAATAATCATCAACTATATATTAGGAACTTTTTTAAAGGATTTTTGGGACTATTTTTCCATATATTTTTCCATATATCGGGATTGAAACCACCAACGTTCACCAGGTGCACTGGATCGGTCCAGAGAACTTGGACCGTGCCGGGCTTCGTGTCACTTGGCGCACCGATGGGGCACCGTTGAGATGAGTAGAACTGGAATAAAAATGTGATTTTAATGGGTTTCTAATGGGATTTTGATGGTGAATTTTTACTAATGAGATTTACCCTCTGGTAAATCAACAGTTTGACCCTGAAAATCACTAATTTTGAGTGGAAATTGATCTTTCGACCCCGATGACTGGCAGGGTCGTCATGTTGATTTACTGGAGGCTACTTGATAAACAGAATCCAAGTGATCAAAACTAGTTTAATATTGATTTCACCAAATCAAAGGAAAAAATCCAGTGATCGGAATCTCCTGAGTTTCATTTTCACAGCTGCGTAGTGGTTTTATTCGATCTTGTCCATCCACACTGGGGGTATGATCCCCAATTTTCCCATTGAATCTCATATTTGTTTTTGACATGCCCAACTTTTCTTGATGGTCAACCAACAAACCCCCTTTTTTGATGCTCAAACTATGTGAAACTCCTATCTTTGTAGCTTAGTTTTTGGATAATTCCACCACTTACTTGGGTGTCTAAAGATAGATGCCCCAGTCATGGACATCTCATGGGAAACCTGAGGTTTTCAACCCACGGATAGCCATAGAAGCACCAGATATCTTCGTGGGGAAAACAGGTCACCGGAATGGACACCTATGCCATTGTGGCCTCGGTCTTGCTGCAAGTCATCACTGGGTGCCTTGGTGCAGTGGCCTGGGCTGGATTGATATTTCTTGGGGATTTCATCTAATATTATAGATATTATATATATACATGATATAAGAGGTCCCAGTTTTATTGAAGCCTGAAATTTAAGACTTTCTCCTGGCACAATCACGACTGTCCTGACTCCATACAACCGCTGGTCAGCCTTTGGCCGTTGATCAATGCTTTCCATGCCGAGGTTCTATGGGTCTGTACCGGAGCCAGATGATACGGATGAGCGTTCTTTGGCACAGACGGGCGGTGCTCTCTTTCCACCAAGAGGCCTCAAAAGAGTGTCCACCAATAACTTCAGGAGGCCGAACATGTGGTTATATGGCCATGGCTCAAAATTATCAAGCCCCAAAATGGATCGTTGAATACAAGAAATGGCAAGCCTTTTTCGTGGGTCCATTCTTGGTCGCTTGGTCACCGCTGATCCTAGGCTTGAAGTACCCAAACCTGCACAGGTGCGAAGCCCCAGGAGACCACCACGTCTGAGACTTGAGTAGTTTGGAACCCCCAAATATGGCACAAAAAACACAAAGGCATTGCAGTGGTCAACATTCCTGGGTCAAAGCCAGGCTGATGTACGAAGGGCAGATGATCTTTGCTTCAGTGTCAGTGGTATGTAGTACTTACACCATGGTCCGGAGGCCCAGTATCAGCATGGGAAGCGCCCACGTTGCGCGTTGGGCGTTGGGCGTCGTTGCATAGTTCAAAGTTGACAGCAATGAAACTTGTGATCTGTGATGACTTGGCATGTAAAGAAGCATACTGACAATAATTGCAGTAGTAATTGATATTGAGTTTGATGCGTTTAGGAACGCCCTCCTGGAACAGACACCGACTGTCCATGGGACCAAATTTTGGCCTTTTCCAGAGGCTCAAACATCCGAAGTTGGTCATTTTGAAGGGGGAAACCAATGTTTGGGGGACCAATGGTTTTGGGTACCCCAACTTTAAGAAGCCGCCATCTGGATCCATGTACATACACACACACATACATATATATATATATAGATAGATAGATATAGATATAGATATAGATATACTTACTCAAAATCTGTAGAGGAACCCGTTTTCTGTGCCTCACCAGCGCTTGAGGTCATGTTTCTACTCTGCAAGATCTACTCTGTGATGGCATTAGGCATGTACAAGGCCTCCGCATCTTTGGATGTCATCGCATTATGTGAATCTGTGGTAGATTTGGACAGTTTCAACCAATGAGATTGGACATACTACCCAATGTATTGGGGATTATCAAGGCTTTTCACAATTCAGAGAATTCATGAGCTGAGAATTCCCACTTTCACCAACTGCTCATTTGGGTTGATGGAGCAGTAGCCACCTGCCCCGAAATGCTGAGGTTCCACTCAAACAAGAAGTGATGGTTGGGTCGTATGATGGTCTTATGTTCAAGTTTCACATGTTTCACTCCAGTTCAGCATGGTTCAGTATGATTACCCTCTGGTAAACTAACATAACTATGGAAAATCATGGAAAATCACAATCTTTAATAGGCAAATCAGCTATAAATGGGCCATTTTCAAGTTCGCAAACTGTTGGTTTACCAGAGGGTAATCATACATTCCCGCAACCCAACATGGCTTGCCGGATTATATATATATATATCTATCTATTATTATCTACTATTTACTATTATTATCTACTACTATCTATTAAATTACAAGAGGGTACAGCTAAAATGTCTATCTGTTGCATTCCAAGGGTTCAGAGATCCCATCTTGGAATATCTGGAATGCGGCCGTCCAGGACGTGTCATATGACCTCTTCCAAGCCGCCACTGGAAGGCCAGAAGGGACCAGTAGATTGTGGGTGAAGGGTGGGCATGGTGTTGATGTATATATATAATACACATATATATATATATAATACATTATATAATACATGTATATATAAAACATATATATATATAATACACATATATATATAATACATATATATATAATATATATATAATACTATCATATATAAATAATATATATCATATATTAATAATATATATATATGTATATATATATATATATACATAGCAACCCCCAGTCATAGACAGAAAAGTTGGAGGCCCGGAATTTTGTGGTGGGGAACATCATCGTTTTTGCATTTTGAGGATTTAAACAGGAAGATCACCGATTGGAAATGGGAGATCTAAGATTGATCCACAACTGAACAATGGAAGAAGACTGGTATATCTCAGAGTTGAAAATCTGATCCTATTTTCCGCTCCAAAATCAGCTAATAACATATCGATGCTGCTGCCGCTACCCAGGTTTCGACTGCGCGCGTTCTGGAGTCTGATCATTGCCATGCAGCATGGTTTGGTCCGGTTTCTGGGGCGTTTCAAAGCAAAATAGCTGGTCGTCACGGATTTTCATCCAACATATGCTATTTTGATATATGGAAATAGGTCTTGACCCATCCCCAAATATTGGAACCACTGGAATGTGGATCTGCCCTTCCAAAGGTCTCGCCGGTTTGGATCTAGTGCAACACTGCAGGACTTGTTGGGAACAGAGGAATCAATCCACATGTGGGTCCCTAGGTACCCCATCCCCCTTGTATTAGATCCCGGCCCAAAAACCAACCAATTCAACATTGAATCTATTTATTTTGAGGGCCCAGACTTTTTTTGCAACCCAAAAGGTTGCAGTAAACAGTATAACCTCGTATAAACATCATTTATGGAACATGGCTTTTATGACTTTCCCATCATATTCGGAAATTTCATGATCCTATCTGACGAATTGATATTTTTCAGAGGGGTAGGTCAACCACCAACCAGCATATAGTGGGATAATGTGGGGTTATCATCAAACCAGCTATAGGTTTACCATTATAAACTATAACTTACCCTCTGGTGAACTAACATAACTATGGAAAATCACCATTCTTAATGGGAAAACTCACTATAAATGGCAATTTTCAATAGCTATGTTAAATTACCAGAGGGTACCATTACTGTTATACACATCATTTACCACTACAGGTTTAAATCTTGGCGGATGAAGCCATGCCGGGCTCAGGCATAGCTTCTTGGTGTCCTTTGCGATGAACCTCTTCACGTCGCTCGGTGCAGATGGGTTTGGTAAAAAAGTAGGGGAAACATATCGGATAGCCCATCTATATACATAACCAGTATTTAACATCAGTATTTAACATTTTATATACCACATTTATACATTTATATACCACAATTATACATTTATATACATGTACATACATCTATAATACATAGTTCTCATATTGGGACTAATGGGCAATCAATCCAGTCAATGCTAATCCCCAAGCACGCACTGTTGGCTGTCCGGCTTTCCAGGACATTCCACCAACAGTGACTAGTTCTCATATTTAATTTGGGAATGATACCCCAAAGATGTTGGACTTGCCGTAGCTGAGGCGTATCAAGGGAAACAGAGGCCTGTGCTTCTTCTTCGTGGGCATGATGGGCATCATTCCGGTGGTCTACGCCACTTGGTGCCGGTGTGCAGGAAGATTACAGTATATAGTTGTATGGATCCAGAATTCTTTGGCCATGGGAACCAAAGATTCAGGTTATATACAGTGCTTCATACAGTAAGTCAGGTTATATATTCAGGTTATATTCAGGTTGTATATCCAGTCTACTGAGGACTGGCAAATCATCTACCAAATCGCGGAGAAGTACGTGTACAACTGAGAAAAAATTCAGTGCGACGCCTCACCAGGGCTTGCGGAACGGCGGGCCACGTCGTTCCTCGATGATATGACAGGCATATGATGTTTTCAGGAATAATTCATGCACGGCTGCTTGATTCTCACCAAATGAACAATCATTTATCAGTTCCCATCATCTATTTGAGAATGATCAATGATGATCAATGATTACATACAGTTTTTTAATAGTGTATATACAATGTTAGATCTAGTATATATATATATACATTAATATGCTTCCATTCCAACTTTTACAATGGTCCATCACCAAATTGAGCCAGCACTTAACGTTCGGAAGAAGTCTCAGGAGGGTGGCGAATCCTCCCATTTTTTCGTCAAGCAGTGCTGCTGACGCCAGTGGATGCCGCGGTGCTCCACATCGCGTCGAGTCGTCGTCCTGCGAAGGTTTCCATCCCGCGGCGTTTGAAGAGTGGAGCAGCAGGCCGTTTGAAGGCCCGAAATGTCGTGGAACATGTGAGTAAAAACAGTACAGCCTGTGACGGATGTCTTTAAGCTATCAAGTGACACACCAAGTGCTGCAACTATGGACGTCTCCCAAATGATTGAAGATGAAATATGGGATGTCACGTACTAAGCTTGTTTGTGACACATCTCGGATTTGTAGATCAAATATGTCTTGAACGCAAAACCACCATTTCCAGAGGTGAAATCTTATTTTTGATTGAATCACCATGAACCATACGCCTTTCTTTGTTCGAGTACGTTGGACATGTTCTGCTCTGGGCGAGCGTCGCTAAAGATGTGTTCCAGTCGTGATGACGCGGGTGACGGAGAGGTTTTCCCCGAGCTGTGCAGCCGGGTTCACAGACCAAAAATGGAGATCCGATGGCCTTGGGCAGTGGAATGCAATGGATACACCAAAAAAAGTGAGATTGTTGCTTAGAAGGAGATGATGCATATGTCTACAGCATATTTAGAGATGTTGAGTTTTGAGTTTTGAAGTCGGTCAAAGCCAAAACCTCAATGATTGAACTGGCGTTGTTTAGTGATTTTGATGTCGTAGCTGGATGACTGGCTCCAGCCCATGACCATGACCAAATCGCCTCATGTCATGCAACACATTCTTAGATATGCAAAGAACAAATAGATGACTATGGATCAATACCTATTAATACCATTTTTAGTGGGATGAACATCCATTTACCAGCTATTTTGATGTTCACCAGGGGTACAAGGTTTTGACACACTGCCAGATGACAAACATCATGTGAAATCATCCCCAAAAGATATCTATAATATTCTATAATGATTTGACATCTCCGTAAATTTTCCATGTGAAATCAGTGAAATCATCCCAAGATCAGCCTACTGACGAGCAGCATGACCTTCTCCCATGGAGCCACTTTGGTCACATCGATGGTCCCTTGGATGCCTTGGATGCCGATGTGATGCCGATGTGACGCTTGTGTTTACCCAGCAGAATGAACTAGTAACTAGACTATATATATATAATGTAGTAACCCCAAAACGATAGAACAGAATCTACCTCTATTCTAGTAACTTAGTAGGATTTCACTTTCCATCTTTTTGGGGTTGTTTTCGACACAGGGGTGGTGAAATGTCAGACTTGCGGCATCAACCTGGCCACTTTCGCTTCCGCAAGACCAGCATCTTGAAGTGAATGGCTACGTCTCAAACAGTTCCCCAAATTGGATGCAGTCAGGAGATTGGCACCATTGGCACCTCCCCCCAGTTTCCCCGTTTTTCCGGTGGAGCAGATTGTAGTGGAGTTCCCTAAGGAAATGCCTCACAGGAGCTCTGGGACTCTGGGACCAGCATCTTGAACTGGCAACTGCGAGAGACTTCATTTTCCATAGTGACACATTTCGAAATGGAGAATTCATGAGTATTCAATACCCCATTTCTGGAGCCCGCAATGTTCCAAAGTTTGCTTTCTGTGAAGAATCATAGGGTGGACCCTGGTCAATCCATTGCGATGGGAGAAAAGTGGAGATGTTCTTATCACAGCCATGGGTCTCCGGCTACGCCCATGGCTGGTGAAGGTCCAGGCTTTCGGTTGGTTCGATGATTTAGTTGGGGGATTTCCCTAGCCATGTTTGAGGACACCGGAGGGTATCCCATTAAATATCCCGTTGACAATTCTTAGCCCTTGTTCAACCCAAGATTCATCATTACTAGTCATACCCTCTGAATCGGTTTATAGCTATTCACAGCTACTCTAAATTCCGGTCCCAAAAAATGCTCTGAAACAGCGAGGATTTTCTGTGTTGGCCTCGCTTCGGCTGGGAGCGCCTGGGAGCCTATGGAGCCTGGCGTCGCATAAATGATCTCTGAAGCGAAGTATGGAACCGGTTCCAGAATTGGCTATAAGTTTTAACAGAATATCCAGGGGACCTTCCCCCATATTTGATGGTCAACACTGTAACCATGGTTTCCAGTATATATTTCCCTGTAATCACCCCCGTTTCGAACTCTATGTTGGTTGTTTGAATCCCCAAACTGTTAAACTTTCCATGTTTTGTAATGTTTAGTAGTCAACACCAGATTTTAGCGGTGTAAATCACCATGTTTGGTGCTTAACTCCCAATGACCCCGCGAGATTTTCTGGCGAGGTGCGAAGTGCTGTCGATCCATACGTCACCCGTCCAAGATTTGGAGGCTGGAAGAGCAGGGGGTGGGGATTCTTCTGGCTTCATTTTATGGGGATATACCCTCTGGTAAACTAACATAGCTATGGAAAATGGCCATTTATAGTGGATTTTCCCATTGAAAATGGTGATTTTCCATAGCTATGTTAAATTACCAGAGGGTAACTGATATAACCAGTATAACCGGTATTATAACCAGTAATAATTTTGATGATGTTTGATATTTTATGGAATGATGGTGTCTGAGAATTGGGTATATTGGGTATAGCCCCAAACCGGCAGATTAATTGGGATATTAGGGGTACCATTCTTCAGACAAAGCCATATGAACAACGGGGATGTGACATATTTCACCAACTGGATATGAATCGATGATGATATGGTGGTAACCATCAACAGGTATATAATATATAAACGTATGAATTTGTCCAGGGTGTAAGTGTAACCATCAAACATGTGGATATGTCATCGGCGATGTATGTAGGCAAACATTGGGATGGGCTTATTGAGGATGTCCAATATACTAATCCTCTGGTACGGGATCTGTTCTTTTTTTTCGGGGCCATAGCTGGGTCCCTGGGTCTTTAATATTTGGTGCCAGGCAACACTATTTAGATAGGCCATTTCTAACCAACCTCGATGTGAGCGCCTCGGGATGTCAGAAGTTGCTTCGAATCGACAGGCCGTGGTCGCGAACTGGAACTTGGGCCTGGACGATGCTGGTGCGCCGCCCTTCGGGGGAGTCCTGCGCTCCTTGGAGGACCTGCTAGATGGTCTCCCCTTAAATGGGATAGGAATAGTTGTAACCCCAGGAAGCAAGCCCTAGTAATCAATCCCTTTCGAGGGTACGGTGAAATCCTGAAAGCACTTCTGATGAGAAAGCCACAGGATTTGTTTTTTGTTTTTTAAATTTGCTCCGTGTCTGGCTTGAGACTTGGGGTCAAAAATCCATCATTGGCGAAAAACTCAGGCTTTGCCGGTGGCTTCTGCGAAGCGGTGGAGGTGGATGGCACTTTGGCCTGGGGGCCCATGCCGGGCCCATGCCGGGCCCAATTTCTGGATACTTTTTGGTGAGGTTTTTCCAGATTCACAGCAGAAACGGTCGTCAAATTCGCGCATGCCCCTGGTTCTCCTAATCTTTGGAGAGATTTTTGCTTGCGAATTGGGATGAACCTACCAAACACGGGAGACTTCGAGACTTCTTTCAGGCATTTTGACCACAGAGCCAGGGCCCCTACTTGTTCCATGGGAGGAAAGAGCGTCCTGGCTTAGATCCCTTGAGATTTCTGGGCAAAGCTGCATCTCTATCTTTCGAAGTCAGCCAACCTTGGCTAGGATGCCCAGGATGCCTGTTGCGAACTAGCCACTTAGCTTTCAAGCCGCTGGTACCTGACAACTTCGAGCCTTGGAATGATCAAATTATCGCTTGCAAAATACCGGTCGAAATCTGTGATCTCGGTGAGATCATTGGAGCATTTTGCTCTTGCTACACCCAAGCCACAACCAACCTACACTTTACACATCTTTACACCCCGAGTTGATCTTTACCAGCCACGTACAACACGCCGCCTCAGCCATGGCGCCCTTTGTTGGGCCCAATGAACTGCTACAGCGCCTGGAAAAGCTCGAAAAACTGGTTGAGGACGGGGAGACGAAGAAATTCAGAATTGTTACGGCTGATGCGATTATTGTGATTGTTTTGATTATTGTATTTGTCATGACTATTGAATACTATTGAATACTATTGAATAGTATTGAATAGTATTGAATACTATTGACTACTATTGAATACTATTGAATACTATTGAATACTATTGAATATAAGTTAAAATATCACATTAATCGGTACGTTCGTTCTTCTTCGAGCCGGTCGATTTGAGAATGCCAGGAGCACGGCAGGCGATTCGAGGAACTGGCGCCCAAAGGCAGCTGACGTCACCAGGAATGATGGGACTCGCACCTGTTGACCGCCGATTTACATAGCTCCCCCCAATCCCATCCCCGCCAGCAATATATAATCATATAGACATATATATCACATATAGTTATAATTAGTCATGTACATATGTAACTATATCTCATTTATATATAATAGTATATACCATTATAAATTATATACCATTATAAATTATATACCATTATAAATTAGATACCTCTATGACTCTAATATGTATTGTTTTTCTCAACTATCCAAAACCTGCGGTTTCCCGCAGGTGGCGTCTCCCGTCGCGGCAGCCGCTCGCCGCCGCGCGGCGGCGCGCCGCTCTCGGCCAAGTCTGCCGCGGCGCCGCGGGCCGTGGCCTTCGACAGCAACGCGGCGCTGGCGGTGGCCCGCGCGCAGCTTCGGTCGCTGGGATTTTGCGAAAATGGCGGTTTTCATGAGAAAATCCATAGGAAAATGTGGGAACATTTTCTAGAAAAGGTTTGATATTTCTTCTAAATACTATAAATAAATGGTTTCTAGCTGGGAAAATGGTCGAACTAAATGGAGGATTTTCCAACTATGTTTGAGCAGAGGGTACCTGGTTTGATTTTCAGGGGCTGGCACGGTGACTGGCGATGCTGCAACCTGGGGGGATTTGGATGATTTTGGATGCATCGAAGTTTCAATGTTTCAAGATGCTGGTGTTGCTTCCAAGAACACTCAACGCAACCATTGTCATTCGACCTGATGGCCTGTTGCCAGCTCTACGTGGTCGGGGGCCATGCATCTGGCCAGACTCTGGATGTCTTCCAGCGCTTCGACATGGTGGGGTGGGTGCAAAGGGTGAGCCGGTGGCAAATTCACATTGGTTTTGGTTTGGGTGCGACATCAAACAAATTGAGAAAGTAGCAAGACTGACTTATTGTTTCCACTTTTTTTCGCAGAGCATTTACTGTCTTTCTGGCCAAATTGATGCAAATTACATTAGGCACTTCACATGAGTACGTCATTCCCAACGCCAACTCTGTGTGTTGCGGGGTCACTATGAACTCCTTTTACAGGATATCAGATATTCTCATTGGATTTTCCAACAGTATCTCCATCTGGCTGGTGGTTTCAAACATTTTTTATTTTCCATAGTATATGGGATGTCATCCTTCCCATTGACGAACTCCATCATTTTTCAAGATGGTTATTGCACCACCAACCAGATTATCATCCCATTATTAACCACTATTAAGCCATTATATTAAGCCACTATTAACCATCATTAACCATCATCATTAACCATTATAATAACCATATATTAGCCATATATTAACAGTATATTAACCACTATTAAGCCACTATTAACCCACTATTAAAACATGTTAAAACCACCAACCAGCCATGGCCGTATCCCATGTTGGCCAGGTGGCCGGCTGCTGGGAGCTCCTGCCCCAGATGACCTCGCCGCGCCACGGCTGTTCGGCCTGCGCCACCAACGGGGTGCTCTACGTCTTGGGCGGCGCCGATGTGCCTTGGCTGCCGTGGTTCCACGGGCCGTGGAACGGGAGTTTGAATGGAAGGAAAAACCATGAAGTTATGGGGTTTTCATGGGACAAAAAACCATGAAGTGATCGTTTTTTTTTGATTTCACTTTCAAAGCTATGGGGATATGGTTGATGAATGGTGGGTTGATGATTGTTGGAGATTCTACTACCTTCAAGATATTTGAGATGATCATAATTCATGAACTGGGAATGTATTTGATGGATTGACAGTGCTGGGAAATCACCTATCAAGGGAGGTTTTCATGGGCAGTCCACATGGAAGCAAATGGGGGATTTTCCAGCCATGGGTAATTCTGATGGGGGGATGGGGATTTATACATTTAGGCTTAGGGCATAAGACATGATAAGACAGGGATAAGACATGATACCCTCTGGTAAATTAACATAACTATGGAAAATCACCATTTTTAATGGGAAAATCCACTATAAATGGCCATTTTCAATAGCTATGTTAGTTTACCAGAGGGTAAGACATGGAAAAAGCCATGGATTTCCCAGGACCGCGCCGTTCCCTTGCAGACCTTCGAGCGCTTCGATCCGGAGCTGGGCCGTTGGGAGAAGCTGCCGCGGATGCCAACGGCCAGGTGCCATGGTCGTCCCATCGGTGCCATCGATGGGGCCGATGGGGATGCAATGGGAGATTCATGGGGGACAATGGGATTTTTCACGGGATCATCACTTCTCCATTTTTGGGATGTAGAAGGCTATGTAGCGGCTATGGGTTTCCATGATAGGGATAGCGATCCTTGAAGGATAGCTGAATGATTCTTCCATTGTATCATAGGGATTTAAAGGGATAATCATCACTTCATTTAATGGGATATGGCATAATTCCTAGATATAATGATGTTTTTTTTGGAATAAACACAGTGTTTTATATGATAGGGATTTAAAATTTGATGCGATATTCATGGCGATATGATGGGATATATTATTATATACCTTAAGATGATGAAAAGTTGGACTATATAGCTATATTGGGGGATGGGAATAATCAGTCTATTTTCATAGGGATTTATATAGCTATTAAGTTAAGTTTGGTTTTCCATGGCATGGGATGGATGACCATAAACCATATAATGAGTTTGACCATGGCACATGTGGAGTTCTATCCCGTGGTAAATTGTTTTACCCTCTGGTTATTTAACATAGCCATGGAAAATCCCTTATAAATGGAGGTTTTAATGGGAAAATCATCTATAAATGGGCTTTTTTCCATGGCTATGTTAAATAACCAGATGGTATATGATTTTATGATTCTATGAAACGCAATTACGAATCATCAGCAATCTAGTGATGATGACAGACTATTCCAGTGTCAACTCTGAGAAGTAGAACTGGCCGATGAATTAAGGAGATCCCACCCCAAAACCATGTCATTTGCTATTCTCAACTAGTACCCCCCAATTAAGCCACCCAGGAACTCTTACTACTGTGAGAACCTGATAGTAAATAACTATATAGTCAAATTGGGTAAATGGGTGATTGTGTATGATTGGTTTTTGCCAATGTTTACCACATTGTGTTGGTTAAATAACAATTTTTGTTGGTAATACGACACTTTTTGTTGGCCGAATCATCATTTTTGTCGATTAATTCACATTGTTAAATCACATTATTCTTGGTTCAATCAGCATTTGTGTTTTTGGATCTCAAATAACAGTTTTTGTTCGCTAGCTCACAATTTCTTCTTCCTTAAATCCCAATTTGTTCGTTAAATCACAATTTTTGGTCATCAAATCATCAGTTTTGTTGGTTAAATCAGAGCATTTTTGCTGAAGTCCCAGGCACGGCGCCGCCTGCTGTTCCGTGGCGGGCCTCGTCTATGCCCTGGGCGGCTTCGATGGGCAGACGGTGCTCAGCAGCGCCGAACGCTTTGATGCAGCGCGGCGAGGTGATCCAATCTTACAAAATGGTATAAAATGGTATAAGATGGTATAGTTATATAGTGGTTCTATAACTATGTATTAATATAATTATCCATATACAACTCTATATATAGAATTATACAGATACTATTGTAAATAGTAATCTATCATTTAAGAACTATAGATATCAATAGTATTGAATAGTAACAACTATAGATTATATATATATATCTATATGTATGATTATATACTTATACATTATTGTATTGGTGAATTGGTACAATCCAGCCATTATTTGAATTCCCCAGAAAGAACAACATAATCTGGAAGCCAGATATTCACACCAACAGCAATGAGACAGCGATCAGATGAAGCAACTCACAAGGTATTCCATCCATCAATCCTAACTTCAGCTTTTATGCCCACTTGCCACATTACTTCAATCATCCATGGGTAAATCCAGCAAGTTTCATGGTGAGATTCCCACTTTGAAGGTCAACTCCGTCAATTTTGATGGTAAAACAGTAAAACCCGCCAGTTTTCATGGTCCAACCCAATTCCCAGGCTAGAAATCATAGAAAATCATAGAAATCCAGCAAGTTTCATGGTAAAATCCCCGGATCTTCGGGTGATTTTGGGTGGTGCACTCTGGCCGCCGTGATGGCCGTCGGTTGGGAGGCTGGGAAACGCTGCCTCCGCTGCCCACGGGGCGTGGCCGCTGCGCCGCGGCCGGCTGCGAGGGCTTGGTCCTTTTGGGAGGCGGCGCTACGTCCGAGACGTCCGAGACGTTGGGATAATCATCTTTATAATGGGATTATATACCAATAATAGTGGTTAATGATGGTTAATGATGGTTAATGGTTAATAACCACTGGTTGGTGGTGACTGGAACATGATTTTTTTTTTCTCCATTCAGTTGGGAATGGAATAATCATCCCAACTGACGAACTCCATCATTTTTCAGAGGGGTAGGGAAAAACCACCAACCAGGTTTGTTAAAGGTGAGATCAAAGCTAGGCTATTGTAGTAACAATGATAGTAAGATAGTCATATAAATGATTTGCTATGGTAGTAATGATAGATCACCACCATTAATTATTGTAACAGTAATAATGATAGTAACGATAGTACTGATAGTAAGAATGATCATTATCAGTATCATAATGACAGTAATAATTATTGCGATCATCATCATAATGATAGTATATATATATATCCACTATATAGTACACAATCCATAGAATAACAACTTATAAATAATGGCAGTGATAGCAATGATGTTAATAACAACTACAATGATACTCAATAGTAAGATTTTGAATGATCTGATAGAACTACAGTATGGGTTGATAATAGCAATGATAGTACTTATTTGATAGCAATAATGATAGCAATCATGACCAGGACCAGCATCTGATATTGATATTGATAATAGGGAGAACAGTAATAAGTCGAGATAAGTTTTAGTAATTTGTCATGGGCCAATGGGCTGATATTGACATTTAGAGTAGTAATCAGCAACAACAATGATAGCATGATATTGTTAGTAGTAATGACAATGATAATGATCGTATTCAAGGCAACATGTAGCACTATTTTCTTCGGGATGCCCATCAATAAACATAGTAGTGGCAATCCTCATGATAATGACAAGAATAGTAATTATATATAGTGATAACGATATTGAGAATAGAAAGAATGAGTAAGAATAAACCTTTGTTGGGGTATGATTTACAATATTCGCACTATCTTGTTGGTCAAATTCATTGTAAACAGCTGATGGCGATTGTTTACCACTTCAATGGGGTACCGCAAAATGAAGAGCTTCAGAGCATCATCTTTTTCCTCATGATCTACCCTCCGTAATTTCACAGTTCGCCATGGAAAATGACCCATGAAAGCAGATCACGTAGCTATGGAGAAAATATGATCATGGTTTCCATGGCTGCCACTGTCATTTTTTGGGCTTTGGGGTCAACATTTTGGGACTGGATAGGTGGCAGTGATGACACGCACGAAGTCGCGGCCTTTGAAGAGTTCAATCCAAGCATTTGGCAGTGGCAGGTGCCTTGGTTTCAAGACGTCGACTTTGGGGGCTAAATGTTAGAACATCATGGGAACATCCACTATAATTGGCGGTTTATACCCTCTGATTATTTAACATAGCTGTGGAACATCCCCGTAAAATTGGTCCATCATATCCTCAGCATTTTTTGCTTAAAACAACAACAGTTTCATGGTTAAAGTCACCATCTTGATGCCTAAATCCCAGGTTTTTTTTTGTACAACTCCTATTAAGATGGGAATCCCCGCTTCGATCGCTAGTGAATCACTGCTTTTGATGTTTACAGTAAATCCCATTTTGTGATGGTTAAATGAACACTTTTTTGTGGTAAAAAACACACACATGTCTTGATCCTTGAAACTCGAATCCCAATTTTTGAGGGTCACATCCACCATTTCTTTTCGGCTTCCAGGTCCGCCCTGAGCTGCCCACCGCCCGGGGCGGCTTAGCCATGGCGGTGCCAAGTGGATCCAGTGTGGTGCTGGCCATCGGTGGACGCCGCACGAATGGGGAGAAATTGGATGTGGTCGAGTGAAACTTGGCTGGTTTTAAAAACAACAGGATTTTGAGGTGAACAATTCCAGTGGTTTCCAGGATTTTGAATGTTGTTTTCACCAACAGGTCTTGATTCCAGTGGGTTTAAGAAAACAAGAGCACAGACAGCACAGAATCAGTACCTGTTGGTAAAACACCATCAACAAAAGAACAGTACAAGTGGCTGAATGGTGAAACTATTTTTTTTGTTCATCAGCTAATCAATATCTCCTAATTATATAATCGAAACTTGGTTGAGAGGGAGATGATTTAAGTGATTAAAATGGGGAAATATTTGTGACTTAAAAAAACCTAGGGGAGATTTCACCGGTGATAATTGGGATATCTCATGATAATAACCTGGATTGTTGGTGACTGGTTTTACGCAATTTCCATAGCAACAATACGTATAGTGGGGATATGATGGGGTGAATAAAATACCATCCTAAGTTTTACGAAGCGTGGGATTTGGACAACGTTGATAATACGCAATGTTATCCCAACATTATCCCATTGGTTAACACCGTTTTAAATAGTTGAACCATGGTTATATGGGGGTAACCCCCACATAATCCCAATGTATATACTGTATATATATATATATATATCACATTATATCCCATTAAATCCCCATTGAATTCCCATTGAACTCCCATTAACATCCTTGAAATTTCCATGGGGCACCAGGCTACAACCTTCGCCGCCACAGATGGAGCACGCTGGCGCCGCTGTCCTCGCCGCGCGATGGATGCTGCGCGTGCGCCTTCCTGAGCCGGGTCTATGTCTTTGGAGGACGAGGTTGGGCTTTCACAAGACCAAACATGGTGGATTTCACAAGCAAACATGGTGGA